TCAATACACCGAGTATGTAGCAGTCATCAGATTCAGTCAGGAGTGCAAACTGGTTCAGTCCCTCCAGTATGGAGTGGGGTGCTGGCATCAGTGGTGTCTCCAGTACAGCCCATCTAATCAAGCATAGGCTAATGTACACGTTGAATGTAATGTGCAGCTGAATGGCACATACTAGACAGTCAGAAGAATTTCACCCGTTGAATGTGTGGTGTGTGTGTTTTTTTTTAGGGAAAGCTACTGTTTCAAATGATGGAGCCACTATATTGAAGCTTCTCGACGTTGTTCATCCAGCTGCAAAAACCCTTGTGGACATTGCAAAATCACAGGATGCTGAGGTAAGTTGAATAAGTGTCTATTAATTTCGTCTCTATTTTTTAAAAAAAATCCCAGCTACTACACAGGTCAGGTAGTCCTGTGACAATCTGGGACAGATAAATCAAAGCAAATCAGTAGGTCATTCATTTCTAAATCTAGAAGGGTGTGTAACACACTGTCACTCTGGCAGTGGGTCCCTCTCTGGGACAGAGGGTTACACACGCTCCTTTCACATTCTGGGACAGTGGATTACACTCTGGGACAGAGGGTCACACACACTCCTTGCACACTGTGGAACAGAGGAACCACACACACTCATTTCACCTTCTGGGGCGGTGGGCCGGACGCTCTCCTTTCACGCTCTGGGACAGTATGTCACACTGTGGGACAGCAGATCTGAATGACAGTGGGGAATTACATCTTGCAATGGTGCAGCAGTAACAAGACTGCCTTCAGCTCCTTTTAAATTAACTAAAGTTATTAATGGTCATAAGGATGAAATTTAGAATGTGTAAAGCATTAATTTGTTGATATGTCTGTGTTTATCTAGGTGGGAGATGGGACCACATCTGTTATCCTACTAGCCGCAGAATTTCTGAGACAGATCAAACCCTATGTGGAAGAGGGGCTTCACCCCCAGATTATCATCCGATCTTTCCGTAGAGCTACAGAGCTGGTAATTTGGTACTTGTATTATTGTTGGCTGTGCTATGATTTAATAGATGCCCTTGGGGATCTTAACAGGGGATTTTAATGCCCATGTGAAGACAAATATTGAAACTGCTCAGATCTCCTGTCTTTTGTAGCCTGAGGATTTTTTATGCGTTAATATTGTTTCCTGGAAAGTAATCCCTGTTAGGCACTCAGTTTATTGCTTTGTGACGTCTTGTGTCTCTTTAATCTTTTCCATTGATATTTTGTGATAAAATGCATTAAACAGTAAGCAAGAGTTTATCCGAGATAACACGGTGTGGAGCTTGAGGAACACAACAGGGCAAGCAGCATCAGAGGAGCAGGAAAGTTGACGTTTCGGGTCGGAACCCAAACGTCAACTTTCTTGTTCCTCTGATGTTGCCTGGCCTACTGTGTTCCTTCAGCTCCACACTGTGTTATCTCTGACTCCAGCATCAGCAGTTCATACGATCTCTGACAGAGTTTGCCCGAGTTAGATTCAGTTTGAACCAGTCTTGTTATGGGTTTGGAATTATGTTCAGGGCAGCAGTGGCATAGTGGTAGTGTCATTGTACTAGTAATCCAGAACCCCAGGTTAATATTCTGGGGAGACTGGTTCAAATCCTAGCATTACGCAGGGTGAAATTTGAATTTAATAAATATCTAGTCACTAGCTCCTGATCTAGTAATATCAAATGTAAAAACTTCTAATCCCTTCTTGACCTACCCCTCCCTATCTCTACCTGACAACCTTTAGCAACTCTATGTTTCTTCAACTCTTTTCTGCATTCCTTCTCTTTTCCTGTCCCACATGATTTCCTTTGCTGTATTATAGCTGACCTTATCTGAGCTGCTGGGTGCTAAGCTCTGAAATTTCCTCCCATATGTCTCTCTACCTCTCCATATTGAATCCTTTAAGAAGTCCCTTAAAAGTTCAATTTTGACCGGACAATGCACCAACTTTCCCAACGTCTCCTATTCTGTTTTTATATAATTACATTTCTGTGAAATGCCTTGGAATGATTTACTACTTTAATTTGCAATTGTCTAACACCTTTGTTGTGCTTTCCACAAATTGCTGTTGATACAGGAGAGGATTCACTGTTGTTTGATTCAAGTTCTTAAATAGAACAGTACAGCACAGTACAGGCCCTTCGGTCCACGATGTTGTGCTGAACTTTTACCCTAATCCTCAGGTCTATCTAACCTCCATCCCTACCTTATAGTATCATCCAAAGGCCTATCTAATAGCTGCTTAAATGCCCCAATGAGGCCGACTCCACTACCTGATCAGGTAATGCGTTCCACGCCCCGACGAATCTCTGAGTAAAGAACCTACCTCTGACGTCTCCCCTATATCTACCTCCACTCACTTTAAAACTATGCCCCCTCGTAATAGCTACCTCCACCCTAGGAAAAAATCTCTGGCTGTCTACTCTTTCTATACCTCTGATCATTTTGTACACCTCTATCGAGTCACCTCTCATCCTTCGTCGTTCTAAAGAGAAAAGCCCTAGCTCTCTCAACCTTTCCTCATAAGACCTTCCCTCCATTTCAGGCAACATCCTGGTACATCTCCTCTGCACCTTTTCCAATGCTTCCACATCTTTCCTGTAATGAGGCGACCAGAACTGGACACAATACTCCAGATGTGGCCGAACCAGGCTTTTGCATAGCTGGAGCATAACTTCACAGCTGTTGAACTCAATCCCTTTATTAATGAAAGCTAACACACCATACATCTTCTTAACAACTCTATCCACCTGGGTGGCAGCTTTCAGGGAACTGTGGACATGAAGCCCAAGACCCCTCTGCTCCTCCACACTGCCAAGAATCTTTCCGTTAACCCTATATTCTGCTTTCAAGTTTTTCCTTCCAAAATGATTGACCTCACACGTTTCAGGGTTAAAATCCATCTGCCACTTCTCAGCCCAGCTCTGCATTCTATCAATGTCCCTTTGTAACCTAGAACAGCCCACCGCACTGTCCACAACGCGACCCACCTTCGTATCGTCCGCGAATTTACTAATCCACCCTTCCACTCCTTCATCCAAATCATTTACAAAAATCACAAATAGAAGAGGACCCAGGACAGATCCTTGTGGTATACTGAGCACCATGTTAAATATTTCCGTCCACTACCACCCTTTGTCTTCTAAGGGTCAGCCAATTCTGAATCCAATCTGCCACATTTCCCCCTATCCCATGCCTCCTTACCTTCTGCATGAGCCTACCATGGGGAACCTTATCAAACACCTTACTTAAATCCATGTATGCCACATCTGCTGCTCTACCTTCATCCACGTGTTTGGTCACCTCTTCAAAGAATTCAATAAGGTTTGTGAGGCATGATCTACCCCTCACAAATCCATGCTGACTATCAAGAATCAAACTGTGCCTTTCCAAGTGATCATAAATCCTATCTCTCCGAGCCCTTTCCAGTAATTTGCCCACCATTGACGTAAGACTAACTGGCCTGTAATTTCCAGGGTTATCCTTATTCCCTTTTTTGAACAAGGGAATGACGTTTGCCTCTCTCCAATCTTCCAGCACTATACCCGTGGACAGTGAGGACGAAAAAATACTTCCTTCAGCTTCCCATATGTCATCAGCACTCATTAAGTACACTTTGGCTCTGCTATTGGCTCATTGAACACAGGCTGTTGTGTTCAACGTTGTAGCAACTGAGAAGCCCTCAGAGCATCTACAAAGCAGGTCACTAAAGGAGGTGGCTGTGGAAATGGTGGATATATTGGTTATTATCATCCAAAATTCCACAGATTTGGCAACATCTCAGGCAGATTGGAGGATGGTGAATATGTTTAAAAAAGGAGGGAGGCAGAAAAGTCAGAATTACAGACTAGACTGACAAACATAAGTAGAAGGGAAAATACTGGAGTCTTTTATAAAGGATGTGATAACATGATGCTTAGAAAATACCAAAGAGATTTCGCAAAGTTAATATGGATTTTTGAAACAGAAATTGTGTTTGACAAACCTACTGAAATGTTTTGAGTTTGTAACTAGAATAGATGAAGGAGAACTAGTCAATATGGCATATTTGGATTTTTCAGAAAGCTTTTGATGAAGTCCCACAGAAGAGACTATTATGCAAAATCAAAACACATAGGATTCGTGGTAATATACTGGCATGGATTGAGAATTGGTTAACAGACAGGAAGCAGTAGGAGTAAATGGGTCATTATTGAAGTGGAAAATGGTGCCAAGTGGCATATTTATAGGGATCAGAGCTTGGACACATCATGAGTTACTCATGATATATATCGACTTGTATGAGGGAATCATGTAATATTTCCAACTTAGCTGTCAATGCAAATCCAGGTGGGAGTGAGAGCGGTAAGGAGTGGTAAGAGGCTTCATGGTGATTTAGACAAATAGAGTGAATAAGTGAGAAAATTTGTGGCAGATATAAGGTGTATAAGTGTAAAGTTGTCTACTTCAGGATGAAAAGCAATGGCAGAGTGTTATTTAAATGGTGATGAATTGGAAAGATTGATGTACAAAAGGACCTGTATGTCTTGGGAAACTTGTCATTGAAATCAAACATGCCAGTGCATGTTAGGAAGACAACTGGTGTATTTGCTTTCAGTGCAAGTAGGTGTTTGAGTACAAGAGCAAGCAAGTTTTCCTGCAGCTGTGCAGGACCTTGGTGAGATCACAGCTGAGTGTTGCGTGTAGTTTTGGTCTCCTCATTGAAGAAAGAGTATACCTGCCATAGAGGAAGTGTAGGAAAGGTTCGCGAGATTGATTCCTGGGCTGGCAGTTTTGTTGTGTGAGGACAGATTGGATTGATTGGGCCTGGTTTCACTGGTGTTTTGAAGGATGAGAGGGAATCTCATTGAAACATATAAAATTCTGACAGGCTGGACCAGTTGGATGGAGGGATGGTTCCTTTGGCCAGGGATGCCTAGAACAAGGGGTCACCATCTCAGGATACATGGCCATTTCAGACTGAGATGAGAAATCTCTTCACTCGGAAGGTGATGAACCTTTGAAATTTTCTACTACAGGAGGCTATGGAGGCAAAATCATTGAATATTTCTAAGAAATAAATAGACTTCTAGAAGCTAATGTGTCAAAGGGTATGGGGAGAGAGCTCGAGTGTGGCATTAAGGCAGAGGATTGGCCATGATCAAGTTGGAACGTGAAGTGGGCTCAATAGTCTGAATGGCCTACTCCTATTTTCAATGTTTCCATAGTTTGCAGATGTTTCCGATGTTTGCAGTTGATTCTGATTTTTCTTTTTGGGAATAGGCCTTGGAAAAGATCAAAGCCATTGCTGTAACTGTGAAGAAAGACAGCAAGGAGTAAGTATAGCATTTACTATCAATCCACTGTTTTGCGTAGTTATCTGAATTAAGCATTGTCTCGCCCTGTTTTGAGTAGGGATCCCCTCCGTTGTCTTATGGCATCTTTGATATTGATGCTTCTGATATTTCTTTCTTTTTGTATCTGAATTGAGGATTTGTTGTTATATTAAAGCAAACTACTGTGGATGCTGGAGATCTGAAATAAGATCTGAAACTCTGGGGTCTGGCAGCACATGTTGAGAGACGCAGTTAACATTTCAAGCTCAGTATGACTTCTTTGGAACCCCTCAAATGATGCCTTGTCATTGTGGTTGACAGGACCCTCTGTCCTGCCCATCCCATTTTGTATCATATCCTTCCACCCCTTCACTTAGCCCTCTTACCATGTTAAGGTTGTCCTTACTTTATTCCTTCACCAGCCTCTCCCATTTCCTCTTTATTCATTCACAAGCCAGCATTTACTACCCATCCCTAATTGCCTAGAGGGCAGCTAAGAGTCAACAACATTGATATCCGAATCATATCTAGGCCAAACCAGGTGAGGATGGCAGTTTCCTTCCCTAAAGGGCATTAGTGAAACATGATGGGTTTTTCCCAACAATCGTCAGTGGATTTATAGTCATCATTAGACTCTTAATTCAAGATTCATTTTATTGAATTCAGTTTCCATCATCTGCCCTGGCAGGATTTGAATCCAGGTCCCCAGAATATTACCTGGATCTCTGGATTAACAGTTCAACAACAATACCACTAGGCCATCGCCTCCCCTTCAACCTTCCAAAGTGCTGCTACCACCAAGCTCGTTCTTCCTCCTGTCCCTTTCAGAATTCTGCTCCCTCGGTGATACTCTGGTCCACTGCTCAGTCACCCCTCATCGTTCCAGTGCAAGTGCAGAACACTGCTTTTGAGTTGTTGTATTGGTAAAAGTACTTCCACATTGTTGTTTGGTAGGAATTGCAGGATTGTTACGGAGTGCTTATTTCTGTTACAAGTCAGGATGGTGTTTTGACTTGGAAGTGATTGTGTCTCCATGAAGCTCTGTTCTTTTTCACCTTGGTGGTAGAGGTCATGGATTTGGGAGGCAGTGTTGAAGAAGCTTGGAGTGTTGCTGCATTGCTTACTGAGATTGCTCACTGACAGTCCAGTGGTGGTGGGGAGTGTCATTGTGCTGCAGCACACATGCACCAGTAGAGGAGGGATGTGCTGTGAATCAGGCGGACTTCTTTGTAATTCCATTATAAGCATGGATGCAGATGGAGGATAAACTTGTCTTAATGGTTTTAATGTTGGTCCTTTACTTTAAAGTTTATTTTATTTCAACCCACTCTAACAGGCATCAAAGAGAACTTTTTGAGAAATGTGCCGCTACTGCTCTCAGCTCCAAACTGATTGCCCTTCAGAAAGGTTTCTTCTCCAAGATGGTGGTAGATGCAGTCATGATGCTGGATGACCTTCTTCCACTGAAAATGATTGGGATGAAGAAAGTTCAAGGGGGAGGTCTGGAGGTTGGTGTTTGATGACATTAATCCTGGTTGATTGTGAATACATTCGGTTTTAATTATTTATCTTTACTGAAGAAAAATTAGAATTTTACACAGCCATACGTAAGCTTTCTTTATTGCTTCACCTCAAATAAAATTGTTCATTATATCACTTGCATATCTGTGCATTAGGTTTTACCCATCTTGCCCGTTTCACCAGTACAAGTTGTCCTGAAGTCTTTAGTTGATTTTGTTTCCTGCGTTTTTAACTGCCTTGGCAGTACTGTAAACCCATTGCCGTACAATTCAAAATAACAGCCCTGGTACCAAACCCATAGAATGCCAATGTATTTTCTGCTTTTCAGTCCTAAATGTTGGCACTGTCCCTCTAATTGTATGAGTTACAAGTCTTTGGTACTTTACCAAATGTCTACAGATTCATAAATGGTCACAGCTTAGTAGGAGGCCATTGGCTTATTGTGAGAAGCAGCACTTCACCTAGTGCTTCACCCCATCTTTTCCCTGGAGCCTAAACATAGCTCTATAAGTGCAGTAAGACATCCCTGTTTCTGAACTCAAATCCTCTTGCAGTAGCATATATGTATGTTTATCAAAGTATGTATCAAACAAGGTAGTGAGGTGGTAGCCCCTCTTCCCCCAATATGAGGAAGCTGCCCCTCACTTTCTGACTGCAGTTCAGACCCAGGTACATGATCATTGCCCACCCAGTGTAGGAAAGGGAGGTGTGGGGAGTAGATGTGTGCCGGGGGCAGATTGGAGGGTCTCCTTATGGGTCTGCCCCAGGCTTGATCAGCATCTTTATTCAAGGCAGATTCAAAATATTCATTTAAAATCCGTTATTCACCCACCTCCTCTTTTGGCCCTGAATGGTCTCTCTGCTCCTCTTACTGCCTTTTTAGTGTTTATATTTCTGAAGATTTTGTTTTATGGTAGTTGCCAGTCTCTCTTGAAGGTCCATATACACAACATCAGCTGCATGACCTTCATCAATTCTCTTGCCAAATACCAATACTGTCAGACCCTACCCCTTGTTTCTTCAACAACTCATGCACTACCAGAAACCCTGTCTGTTCTGTATTCATTAACTCCACAAGCTGCTGGAGACCTTGTCTGTTCTCTGTTCACCAGCTCGTACGCTTCTAGAGACCCTGTCTGTCCTCTATTAACTAACTCTCACCCTGCTAGAGACCGTGTCCATTCTCTATTCACTAACCCCACACACTGCCAGAGACCCTGTCCATTCTCTCATCACCAGCTCACACACTGCCAGAGACTTTGTTTGTACCCTATTCATTAATCCTACACACTGCCGGAGACTTCTGCCCTTTTCTCTCCCTGCTAGTAGCTTGCTGCTGTAAGGACCCAATATTTTTCTGCTGGACACAATTATTTGAAGAGAGATAACAATAATATCTGTCACTGCTGTTTAGTTATGAATAACTCTATATTTACATAGTGTGTATCAAGTGGGAGTTTATGGGAGACCATGTCAGAGATTATCAGGATCCATTACTGTTGGGACATGCATAACATGCGCTGGAGCCAGTGACTTACGAATTTTACATCCTATACATTGACCTTTTTGTTGAATACTAATCAAATTTTTCTCCACTGGTGCATTAGATAGTTGACGTTATGATTTGGATGTATGATTGTCTTAGTGAGTGTGACATGGTGATGCATCATGACATTGGAAACTGTCAGCCTGTGTACAAATGGTGCAGGAGAATATATCAGCTGTATTCTCACTTCAATCTTTTAGAAATGTTCCACAGAAATTACATCTGAAAGTTACTTTTTTAAGCATTGCCAGTTCTCAGTGAATTTTATGTCTCTTCTTATATATGTTTGGTGTTGTTCATAGGAATCTCAACTGATAGCTGGCGTTGCCTTTAAGAAAACATTCTCTTATGCTGGATTTGAAATGCAACCCAAGAAGTATGAGAAACCTAAAATTGCACTTCTGAATGTGGAGCTAGAGCTCAAAGCTGAGAAGGATAATGCTGAGATTCGGGTGAACAATGTTGAGGTTAGTACATTCAAAGACAGCACGGTTCATGTTAATTAATGCACTAGCATTGGTTTTAATTTTAGTGTGAGCTGGTATAGCGTTCTCAGGGAGTCCTGACCAGGTTTGTCACTCATATTTAATACTTAGTGAATTTTTCTCACAGACTAACTGATTCTGCTGACTAACATGAACCCTTCTTTGAGTCACTGTCTAGATATGGTGAAGAATTAATGATCAATCGCAACATTGGAGAGATGTTAGTACCTCTGACACCACACTTCAACAAGGAGATGGTTTCTCAGTCTGAGAAAGGATTTGAAATTGGTCATTGGAAATTGGAATTGTAGAATAGCTCATATCCTTGAGTAACATCCAGCCATTGGTTCTCATATAATCAAGTCGTGTGTCAGTTTGAGCGATCCAACCAGTATTTCCTTCTTCCCACCCTGAAAAAATCCAGAGAAACACAATGTACGTTTCTGTATCTTTATGATGAAAGTGCCTGAGTGAGTTTTTAAATTTATTCATGCAATGTGGACTTCCCTGGCAAGCCCAGCATTTATTGTCCACCCCTAATTGTCTTGGAGAAGGTGGGGTGAGCTTCCTTCTTGAATCACTGCATTCTTTTAAGGTGTAAGTACAGCCATAGTGCTGTTAGGGAGGATGTTCCAGGATTTTGATACAGTGACCGTGAAGAAACGGTGATTAAAGGTCCAAGTTGGGATGGGGTAAGGCCAGGAGAAGAACTTGCAATTGGTGCTCATGTTCCTGTGCATCTGCTGCCCTTGTCCTTCTAGGTTTGGAAGATGCTGTCAAAAGAGCCTTGGTGAGTTGCAAAATTGCCTCTTGTAAAGGGTGCGCACTGCTGCCACTGTGTGTTAGTGGTAGATGTGTTGCCACTCTAGTAGGCTGCTTAGTGTATTGACCGTGTCCAGTTGTTTTCCTCACTGACTATTGTCAGGCATTACCAATTCCCAAATCCTTCAATGCAGGGTAGTACAGTTCGAGACCATCCCAATAACTAAGATCTAATTGCTCACTGCTCTCCAGCTTATTCAAACATTATCACACTTTGAAAGTTGTCTGTCTCTCAGAAGCTTTTTTTAAAAACCCCATGCACTGCACAGCTTGCCTGTTATTTCTGTGTTAACTAGTGTGCATGGTGTGAAGTGTACTGGATTAACAGCTACATGTGAATGAGAAACGCAACCACATGTCAGTTAACTTGATTCTCCCCAGTTCTGTTATCAGGCTTTATCTCTATTGATCCCGCTCAATGTCAGTCTAAAAGTCTAGAAGTTGCAAGGTACTTGTTTCCTCAAGATGCTTGATCCTTGGCTTTCACACTGGGAAGCTGGATTCGTATCGTGTCTGGGCTGACAGGGTGAAAGAGTTCTTCCCGTGCTTGCTGTGGAAGTCATCTGGAATGATTTAGGGGGCTGTTGTAGTTATAAGTTCAGATTCTATTGGACACAGGCTCACACACAAAACAACCCCTTATTCACTGTCAGTTGGCAATCTTTCAGAAAGCACATAATGACTGTTGAGGAATGGAACAGTCCCACACTTGCTTGTAGGGACTGTCTGAGTATGGAGGAAAGGAGTGTTCCTTTCATCAACCCCACTCTCAGTCCTTCACAAAATTATTTATTTGTTAGAATCAACTCTTTAAGCTATGCTCATACTCCGTTTACATAGGAGCCCAGCAAAGTTAGAACAAAATAGTTCCAAGAGACTGAACTTGGATTTGAAATGGTTAATCTATATTTATTGATGGGTTAAGAATGTTTTCAGGGATGTAACCAAGAACAGAGATCTTGCAGCTTTAACTTAGCTGGATTTGAACTTAACAATAATGGAACAGTGTGTTAACCCATTTCCCCAGGATACGGCATTGTACTGACTGGCTCTACTGTTAATATACACTTGCCATTAAATACATTGGTCTCCTTTTGTTTCTAGGACTATCAGGCTATTGTTGATGCAGAATGGAATATCCTTTATGATAAACTTGAGAAAATCCACCTGTCCGGGGCCAAGGTTGTTCTGTCTAAGCTTCCAATTGGAGATGTGGCAACACAGTATTTTGCAGACAGAGACATGTTCTGTGCTGGCAGGGTCCCAGAGGAGGATCTCAAACGAACTATGATGGTCAGTGAACTTTCATCGTCTAATGACTAAATAGAGCTGTGTTGCAAGAACTGCTAACTGGTAATATGTCTGATGCTGTGATGTGTTAGTCTCATTAGTGATCAAGCTCGCTGACAGATTTACAGCGCGTAAGAAATCTGCCCTCTATAACACAATAATCATTTGGTAGTATAGAACATGGGTATTGCTGAAAAAAGATGCATTTTGCCAAGGCTTTTCAGTTTTTTGAAAAGCTTCAGCAAGATGTCTTTATTCAGCAACAATATAATAGGAGCAGTCTGTCACCAGAAATAATGCTGTTCATTGATAGCTTTTCATTGAATATACGTAGGAGCTAATTGAAAGGATGTACTGTGCTGACATAATTTCCCTTCTACAAAAAGTCAATTATAGGCGCAGAATGGATGCAGAATTCTTGGGTGTTATGTAAGGTAGATGATATTCAAATATTCTACATAAATTTTCCACTTCAACCTTCTTGTTGAGAAGCCAATGGCTGAACCTTTCTGTTTTCATAGATATCAGCAGCCATTCAGAACGTCTCCCCCATTAACATGAGCCCAGGCATCAAGATCAGTTGGTTGATTGACCATTAATAGTGTCAGAGCCATATCTAACCTACATCATTGAATCAACAGGAAATAATAAAATAATCTGGGACAGGTTAGTGGCAGGTTGTCTCCCATTCGTCACACCACTCAGCCTGAAGAACAGTGGCTGCGGTAAGCCAGAAACACTTGTTCAGGCTATTGACTGTTGACAGTTAACAGTGCAAACTAGGAAACCAATCTAGGCTACATGTGGACATCAGTGTACGTTTAGAGCTCAGTGGCTCAGTGGTTAGCACTGCTGCCTCACAGCACCAGGGACCCGGGTTCGATTCCACCCTTGGGTGACTGTGTGGAGTTTTCACATTCTCCCCATGTCTGTGATGGTTTCCTCCAGGTGCCCCGGTTTCCCCCCACAGTCCAAAAATGTGCAGGGTAGATGGATTGGTCATGCTAAATTGCCCATCGTGTCCAGGGATGTTTAAGTTAGGTGGGTTAGACATGGGAAATGAGGGGAATGGGTCTGGGTGGGATGCTCTTCGGAGGGGCGGTGCGGACTTGTTGGGCTGAAGGGCCTGTTTCCACACTGTCGGGATTCTATGAAAAAAAAGAATCCAGGAGGCTTGCAGGTTGAGAATCGTTGTACGATATTTACTAATGTTAATGGAACAGGTGCAGGTTCTTTCTTTGTATACACTTTTATACATTTGCCTTTCTTGTTCTTTAGGCCTGTGGTGGTTCTATTCAGACCAGCGTTAATGCCTTGACAGGTGACGTGTTGGGACAGTGCACACTCTTTGAGGAAGCCCAGGTTGGAAGTGAAAGGTACAAGTGCTACGTTGCATATAACCTGAAATCTTCTCGTGGTAATATTAAGCCCATTAAGATCTTTAGTATATAGTAGAACATCACCAAGTTTTTCTAGATTTTACAACAATGTGCTTGACTCTTAACTACCCTCTGGATAATTAGTGATGGACAGTAAATGTTGCTCTAGTCAGTGACGCCCACATCCCATGAATGAATAATAATAAAAACACCCTGGTACCACCTTTCTCTTCAAATCCTTTTAGACCTAAGAACTACATCTATCTCCATCTTGAAAGCATTCAGTGTTTTGACTTCAGCGACTTTCTGTGGCAGAGAGTTCCACAGGCTTACCACTCTCTGGGTGAATAATTTCACCTCAAATTAATTCTAAATGGCCTATCCAGTATCCTTAAACTGTGATCGCTGGTATTAGACTGATGAAGCATTAGGAAATCTTTCAGGGGTCAACATGGATCAAAAGCACAAAGCCTATACTGCTGTTTGATCTTTCTTCACCAGTCTGAGTATTTCTCACTATTATGACTTCAGGCCAGATTTGTTAAAAGTATTCTTGAAGCTTTCAGCCAGTGACAGTTCCTGTTCATTGAGTTGGCAGTTGAGTTGTACATATTCTTTCACCCACTCTCCAGATACAACTTCTTCACTGGGTGTCCCAAGGCCAAGACCTGTACGATCATTCTTCGAGGGGGTTCAGAGCAGTTTATGGAAGAAACTGAGCGTTCCCTTCATGATGCAATAATGATTGTTAGACGAGCCATCAAGGTAAGAACGTAAAGAGCTGTGTGGGGGTTCTGGAGGTAGCAACTGAGGCCTGATAAATTCAGTCAATGCTTCAAGAATCCCACAGATTTCATACAGGATTGATGAAGCAGCAAAATGCATAGTAGGCAGGTTGACATGTTGATGAATGATGTCTCTGGTCCAGCTCTAGCACCCATGATGTGGTCAGTGGCACTGTACCCGACTGAATCGGGGACAATGTTTTGTGCCTGCAGCACATGTGTGCACTGTGCCAGCACACGTTTAGCTGTGAGGGGTCGAGATAAGAGGATGGTAAGTTCCTGTAAAACTGCTGAGAATAAACTCACTTTAGCTTAATTCCACGTTTGGTATGTGCCCATGTGGAAACATTCTGAATTGAGAGTATAGTAAAGATTGGCACATACTGTTAAATTTTGAATTCAGCTCAGGTAACCAAGCTAAAAGTTCTTCTCTGTATGAGCCCACTGCCTCCTTCCCTGAATGCTTCCACTTTCACATGCTGAAATGCAGTCATAGGATGCTGTGGCACAATTGAAAGCGATTCAGCCTATCATGTCATTGCCAGCTTTTTGGTTCGTTCTGTTGCTGTTCTCTTTCGGTCTGTATGGTGTTGTAATTTTTTTCCGAACCAAATATATATCCAGTTTTCTTTTGGAATCATAGAACGGTTCCAATGCAAAAAAAAGCCATTTGACCTTGAGTAGTAAAGTTCGTCAACTTTACTAACACCTTCCACCCCAACCTCAAGTTCACCTGGACTATCTCTGATACCTCTCTCTCCTTCCTGGACCTCTCTATCTCCATCTCTTGTGACCACCTCGAAACTGATATCTATTTCAAGTCCACCGACTCCCATAGCTACCTAGACTACACCTCCTCTTACCCACCTTCCTGCAAGAATGCGATCCCCTACTCCCAATTCCTCCGCCTCTGCCACATCTGCTTCCAAAATGAGGTGTTCCATTCCCAAACATCCCAGATGTCCTCCTATTTCAAGGACTGCAACTTCCCCCAACTCAGTGGTCGAAAATGTCCTCAACTGCACCTCAGCTCTCACGCCCCCTCCCCGCAAAAAAAACAAAGACAGAATTCCCCTTGTGCTCATGTATCACCCCATTAACCTCCGGATTCAACGCATCATTCTCCGCCACTTCCACCACCTGCAATCTGACCCCACTACGAAGGATATATTTCCCTCCCCAACCTTATCTGCCTTCCAGAGGGACAGCTCTCTCTGCGACTCCCTCGTCTGCTCCACACTGCCTACTAGCCCCACCACCCCCGGCACCTTTCTCTGCAACTGAAGAGGTGCTACACCTCCCCCCTCGCCTCCGTCCCAGGCCCCAAAATAACCTTCCACATCAAACAGATGTTCACCTGCACATCCGCTAATGTGGTCTATTGTATCTGCTGTTCACGATGTGGCCTCTTCTATATTGGTAAGACCAATCGGAGGCTCAGAGACCGCTTTGTAGAGCACAGTTTGCGACAAACGTCAACACCTCCCAGTCGCGAACCACTTGAACTCCCCCTCCCACTCCCTGGACGACCTGTCCATCATGGGCCTCCTCCAGTGTCGCAACGACGCCACTTGGAAACTGGAGGAACAGCACCTCATATTCTGCCTTGGAACCCTACAACCCAATGGTCTCATGTGGACTTTACTAGCTTCAAACTCTCCCCACCCTCGACCTGATTCCAAGACCAGCCTCCTCTCTCATCCCCGCCTCATTGACCTGTCCGTCTTCTCTCCCACCTCACCGACCAATCCCCACCCCCACTTCCTACCTACACTCACCTTTACTAGCTTCATCCCCACCTCCTTGACCTGTCTGTCTTCTCTCCCACCTATCTGATCCTCCCACCTCACTGACAAATCCCCACCATTACCTACCTGCTATCACCATCCTACCTACCTTTCCCAGCCCAAACCCACCCCTCTATTTATTTCAGAGCCCCCTTCCCCTCCCCCATTTCTGAAGAAGGGTCCAGACCCGAAACATCAGCTTTCCTGTTCCTCTGATGCTGCCTGGCCTGGCTGTGTTCCTCCAGCTCCCCACTGTGTTATCTCAGACTCCAGCATCGGCAGTTCTTACTATCTCTGACCTTGAGTATATGCTGCTCCTCTGGAACTCAGCAAGTCCTACCCCCTGCAAATGTTTTCACTTCAGACTTTTCTCCACTTTTGTAAACCCCACTTGTATCTGTTCCACCATATCTGCAGGCGGTAAATACCAACCCAAAGCACTTGCTGTGTTACATGGTTTTCCTCCATAGTTTTATTTTATTACCATTCACCTGAAGTCAGTATCCTCTAGTCATTAACCGTTCCACTACCGGCACTTGTATCTGCCTGCTCTGTCTAGGATCCCTCATGATTTTGACCATTTCTATCCGATATCTTCTCAACCATTTCTAAAGAGAATAACGTTTCTCCAATCTGCCTAAGTAACTGAAACATCTCATCCCTGGGATCTTCCTTGTAAACCTGTTCTGTGCTTTCTTATTCTTCTGAAAGCACTGTGCCCCAAATTTTAGTTGCGTGTGAGGTTCACCATTACTTCCTTGCTTTTGTATTTTAATCTTTACTTATAAAGCCCAGGATCTCATATACCTTTTTAACCACTTACCTCCATTTACCAAAATATCATCTTCCACAATATGTGCACACCAAGTCCAAGGTCACTGTTACTGCATTCCCTTTAATAATTGTGACATTATCATGACAATTGTTTCTGTTTTTCAACTAAAATTTATCACCTCCCAGTTCTCTGTAATACCTGCCCTGTGTTTGCCCATTCCATCAGTCTATGTCCTTTTGAAGTCTACCACTATCTTTTCCAAAGCTCACTATATATACTCTTCAGTTCTGTGTCAACTTCAAATTTTGCCCTGCCCACCCAAGTCTAGATAATTAATAAATTCATATTTGCAGCACAGAAGGAGGGCATTCAGCCCGTTGTATCTATGCCAGTCAATCAGGGTCTGACTACAAGGATCCCATTCCTCCTCTAAGGTGAACAGCCTAAATCATCCAGTTTCTCTGCAACTACCTCATCCCTGCTACTGTTTTGTTAAATTTTCTCTGCAAAGGCCTTGACATTCTTCTTGAAGTGTGGTGCTCAGAATTGACTCAGTACTTCAGCCAGGGCCTGAGCAGTGTTTCAGAAAGATTTGGCATAAATTACTTGCTTTTGTCTTCCATGCCTCTGCTGATAAAGCCATGAATCCCGTATCTTCTTGAAATAGTGTTCTGAACTGCCACCTTCAAATACTCTGAGGAGACGGTAAGGACTGTAGATGCTGGAAGCTAGAGTCTGTGTGGAGCTGGAAAAACACAGCCAATCAGACAGCATACGAGGAACGTTGACTTTCATGCTCCTTGGATGCTGTATGACTGGTTGTGTTTTTCCAGCTCCACATTTACTGCCACCTTCAAATATTTGAGTGTGTACACTCCTAGTCTATCTGTCCTTATACCACCTTCAAAATATCATTTAACGTGTAGTTCAGTTCCAAAGATGTGTCAATTTACTGAGGAAAAAGCATATTTTCCTCAGAAGGAAACAACAAAAGCTCACTAATGATTCCTAGGATGAAATGGTTGTTCTGTGAGAAAACAGAATGGAATGGACCTACATACTTTAGAGATTAAAGTAGTATGAAGTGGTCTTGTTGAAATGGATAATTTCCTGGGTGGCGACTCTGGAACCAGGGGACACAGTCACAGGGTAACAGGTCATACATTTAGAACTGAGCTGAGAAACCATTTCTTGATTCAGAGGTTTGTGAATCTTTGGTGTCCCGGAGCTGAAATAGCTCAGTCTGAGTGTGTTTGGCTCAGTGGTTAGCACTGCTGCCTCACAGCACCAGGGACCTGGATTCGATTCCATCCTCAGGCGACTGTCTGTGTGGAGTTTGCACATTCTCCCTCTGTCTGCGTGGATTTCCTCCGGATGCTCAGGTTTCCTCTTACAGTCCAAAGATGTGCAGGCAAGGTGGATTGGCTATGCTAAATTGCCTGTAGTGTTCAGGGATGTGTAGATTAGGTGTGTTATAGGGGGATGGGTCTTGGGGGAATGCTCTGATGGTTGGTGTGGACTTGTTGGGCCGAAGGGCCTGTTTCCACACTGTAGGGATTCTATGATGATTGATTGATATGCGGGACTGAGATGAATTGACAGATTTTTAGGTAAAAAGGGATACAAGTAGGTCTCCTATTATGCAACAGATGCATTCTTAGGTGACCTCACGCTATAGAAAATCACACGATAGAAAATTGCATTATAGGGAAATCGCTATAGAAAATACCTGTATGGCAGAAAGTTTGCATTATCCAAACAGCATCCAATATTCATCAATCGCGTTACAGCCAATTCACGTTAACGAAACATGTTATAGCAGAATTACCAGTTTGGGGATACGGCAGAAAATGGAGTTGATCAGCCATTAATGTATTTCGTGGCAGGATGGGCTCTAGAGGCTGTGTTCTTCTGACCCAGAAGGAACTTTAAGTAGCAGTACGTTTATTCTGCAATGAATATGACCATGATCGGCAATGGGCCCGTCTTTTTATGTTAACTCTGTTGCCCTGTCTTGTTTACCAGTATGTTGCTGTGAATTGCTAATTGAGAGTGCAGGATGTTCAAATGTCTGATCATTTATCCTTGTGTATCTGCAGAATGACTCTGTTGTTGCCGGGGGTGGTGCTATTGAGATGGAAATCTCCAAACACCTACGAGATTATTCCAGAACCATCCCTGGTAAACAGCAGCTGCTGATTGGGGCATATGCCAAGGCCCTGGAGGTGATTCCCCGACAACTGTGTGACAATGCTGGTTTTGATGCCACAAACATCCTCAATAAGTTGCGTGCCAAACATGCTCAGGTAAGGACAGGCTATCTGGGCACTGCCTCAACACTACAGGAAGACCTGACGGTCCAGTCTATCACAAGATCCTCTTGAGTTGTATTACATCTCTCTCCCCCTCACCCTCCCCCAGCCCCTCCCCCTCTTTGACTGTTAGCATTCCTGCTTAATCAGGTCTTGCCGATCCTAAATAAGAACTGAAAGAACTGTGGATGCTGTAAAGCAGAAGTTGCTGTAAAAGCTCAGCAGGTCTGGCAGCATCTGTGAAGAGAAATTAGAGTTAACGTTTCAGGTCCAGAACTGGAGCCAAAACGTTAACTCTGATTTTCTCTTCAAAGATGCTGCCGGACCTGCTGAGCTTTTCCAGCAAAGTCTGTGTTTGTTGTCAATTATGAAGTTTCTCCCTTCCTACCCGTTATGTAGGGGCGACTGGATAATGATCAGAAATAAGCTTAAGCCACACTGAAACCTCAACCTGCTATAGAGATCAGAATAATCATTGAGCTTCAGCAATTTATGTGGGAGGAGCTCTACCTGGGCTGAAAGAAAGTTATGGCAGAGCAGGACTCTGTGGTGGTGGTTGGGGTCGTGCTTTGACTGTTAAAGTTGGGGAGACGAGAGTGGGTTTCTGGGTAGAATTGCTGCTCTGTATTGGGCAGGAGCAAAGGTGATGCAGTGAGTTTTGATGCACTGTCCATTTACTGCACTGAGCGAATCAGAAGTCTGAGAATGAAATGATGTTTTCTTGAGTATTATCTGATAACCTCTCCTCTGTTTACAGGGTGGAATGTGGTATGGAGTTGATGTGAACAACGAAGATATTGCCGATAATTTTGAGTCTTGTGTTTGGGAACCTGCTGTGGTGCGCATCAATGCATTCACTGCTGCCTCAGAGGCAGCCTGCTTGATCCTGTCTGTTGATGAGACCATCAAAAATCCACGCTCCACTGTGGACTCATCAGCCCTGCCAAAGGGCCGGGGTAGAGGCAGGCCACATGCTCACTGAGGCAACTTGGCAAGTGGTTTCTGCTTGTTCTGTCCTGATACCAGTAACTACCAAGAAGCTGCAGAGCCCACCTGGCACCATGGCCTAACACCGTGTTGTCCCTGGACTCACTGCTACCGGTTTCTTCACGTTATTACTCTAGAATCAGACCCCAGGAACAGCAGCATTTAGCTCTATTTATTGTTTTCATCACTTATTTGTGGACAGAAATGTCTGTGGAAAATAAAGTTCCAGTTTTTTGGCAACTGGCTTACATTGTTCCTCCTTTAGTGTGGTGAGGTCCTTGTTTTGTGTAGTACGTCTAATTTTGCAGCACCGACACAGGCCATTTACCCCAACTGATCCACTCTAATCTCATCCCACTATTTGTCATGCAATCCTGTTGACTTTTTTTTAAACCTTTCTCCCTTATGTGCTCATCAGCTTCTATGGGTTGGAGAGCGAGAGAGGGATGTAATCTCAGGATAGTCATCCATTTAGGATTCATGAGGATGCTCTAGCCAAGAGTCAGCAGATGTTGGTCATTGAGTATACTCAAGATGGTAATCAATAATTTATTTTAGACATTAAAGGATATGGAGACTGTTGAAGATTTGAGTTTGTTGAGAATCCTACTGTATAGTGCAGGATCAAGAGGTTGTATGGACTTCTGTTGGTCTTAAATGCCTGTTTAGTTGCTTGAAGACAACTTGCAGGAAGGATTTGGAGGGGGTGCAGAAGAAGTTTATCAGGATGCTGCTTGAATTAGAGGGTATGAGCTATAAGGAAGGGCTAGAAAAATTCGGGTTGTTTTCTCTGGAGTGGCAGAGCCTGAGGGCAGACTTGATAGAAGTTTATAAAATTATGCAATGCATAGATAGGGTTCACAATCAGAATCTTCTTCCCAGAGTTGAAATGTCTAAAACTAGGAGGCATGCATTTAAGGTGAGAGAGGCAAAAGTTCAACGGAGATGTAAGGGTTTTTTTTTAACATAGTGGCAGGAGTCTGGGATGCACTGCCAGGAGTGGTGGTGGAGGCAGATATGATAGGGACGTTTAAGAGACTTTTAGATAAGCACATGATGTGCAAGGAATGGAGAGATATGGACCAAGAGCAGGCAGAAGGGATTAATTAAATTTGGCATCATGTTTGGTACAACATCGTGGGCTGAAAGGCTCGTTCCTGTGCTGTGTTGTTTGGTGTTCTATGTTTGTGCTGGCAAGTTCCATATTCTCTCAGAAATGGCGAGAGCACAATCTCAGTGCACTTGCTGCACATGCTGTTCAATGGCATTGTGTTAATTCAAGTCTGTTTCAGACTCTTCACTATCTCTGCAAGATTAAAAAAAAAAGTGCCTACTGTGTACGTCTTGGATTGTGAATGGTCAGAATTTGGCAAATGGATTTCAGTGTAGGCAGATATGATGTTATCCAGTTTGGATGTAGAGATTGGGATAGGGGACTTTCCAAATGATGAAAAGCTAGAAACACAGAATCCATACAGTACAGAAAAAAGGCCATCCAGCCCATCAAGTCTGCACCGATCCTACAGAGAGCATTCCACCTAGATGCAGCCCCCCACCTTATCCCTGTAACTCCACATTTACTGTGGCTAATGCACCTAAATTACACATCTTTGGACTGTGGGAGGAAACCACAGCCCCCAGTGAGTGCCCACACAGACACGGGGAGAATGTGCAAACTCCATACTAGACACCAAGGCTGGAATCAAAACTGGGTCCCTGGCGTTGTTAGGTGGCAGTGCTAACCACTGTCACCCCAAAACAGTGGAGATCCAAAGAGACTTGAAGGTTCAGATCATTATGTCATGGACTGGCATGGAAAATAATCATAAAGGCTAATGTGTTGCTGGCCTTTATATTTGTATACTTTGAATTTTAGTCATTCAGTATATACAAAGTCATGGTTCAACCACACCTGGAGTGGGCGCTTCTGAGCCTTATACCTTGGGAGGGATATCTCAACTTTGGAGGGAACATGGAATGGATTGACCAGAATGATAACTGCACTCCAAAGTTACCTCAGTCTAATTTCTCCAGGCGCTGTGAATTTCCTAGATCTGTGCACGTCAACAGCTGGGAAAACTGGAAGTGCATGCATTGGCACAAAGATCAGTGTGTGTGGACCCTCGGAGTGTGATGTAATAATTCAGCTGACAGGGAGCATTGCTCTATTGGATGATATTTGTGGAATGTTAACAGATTTAAGTTTGTATTGCTTCTAACTTGGAAATGGTGACTGCTACTGAAAAGGATTTCATGTTGTTGGTAACCTAGTTTAAACGTTGTAGACCCTAATACAGAGTCCAAGTCTGTTGGATAGGAGACATAGGTTCAAATCCCACAATGGCAGATGGTGAAATTTGAATTCAATAAAAATCTGGATTTAAAATGTAACATAACAATGACCATGTAACCATTGTTGATTGTTGTAAAAACACATTTCATTCACTAACAACCTTTTAGGGAAGGGAATCTTCCATCTTTACATTTGACTGTAGACCCATAGCAATATGCGTGACTGTTAACTTCCATCTAAAATGGCCTAGCAAGCCTCTCAGTTGTACCAACACTATAAAGTCTTAGCAAAGGAATAAAACTAGAAAGACCACCTGGCACCAATCTAAGCAGTGAAAATTTTAAAAAATATACCCCTCCAGGGTTGCGAATCTGCCCACACCGCATGGACTGCAGCAGTTCAAAAAGGAAGGTCACCACTGACTTTTCAAGGGGCAACTAGGGAGGGGCAATAAATGCTGGCCCAGCCAGTGATACCCAGATCCCATTAATAACTTTTTAGAAAGGAGTTACTGCTTATTACATGTAAATAGAGTTTAGCTACAGATAAACTATTATGACCCATTCACCATTCACTAGCCATTCTAGTAAATATTTCTAATCCTTAAAGTAAAATTAAAGTCTTCAGTCTGTGATTAGGTCTCTAGTTTGATTTTTTTTTTTAAATTTAAAAAAAAAGCTTGTTACATATAAAGTTAATGCTGGTGTGAAAATATGACAATGCAGGGTACATACCAGAGATGTTAGAATGATTAATATATAAATTAAAATACAGTAGACATGACGTGAGACAATGTGCTGCTGCTGCAGTGTGTGGGAGATGTTGGACAGAAATATAGATTTGAAAAGCTAAAGACCAGTAGGATTTTAAAAAAAAAATTAAAATCTAATCGAATAAACGAGAGGTGCAGGGCCAGACAATGTGCTGTACTTGCATGATATGGGAGTTGATGGACTCCATTGTGGTTCATAGTGACCACCACATCTGTAGCAACACCAGCTTAGGAGTTATCAATGTCATTGTTGGACTGCAACAGCTTGACTATGACTCTAAATATTCAGCATTACAGTAGGGCATTTTAAGATAGGACTGACTGACTGCGTGCATTTGCCGCAAGGAAAAATCTAAATCTTTAATTTAATCAGACCTAATTTAACTTCATTTAGTTTGTACTTAAGCATTAAAGTGTAATCTATAATTTAAATTGTGTCACTGAGAGTTCAGAGTTGATGAGCTGTAGTCTAATTTTCAAACACTGACACGTCTGGAAGGGGGAAGAATTACCTAGATGGTATATTTCAGGAGACAGTCTCATCCAGTAGGTTAAGTACATCAAATTTGGCCAGAGATCATGGGCATGAGGATGTGACTACAAGAGAGACAGGTAGGAGGGATCCTGAATTTAGCAACGGAGGAGCCTCAGTTCTTGATCTTGTCCGTGAGGTATGAGGTACTTGCTCCTTGTAAGGATGAGGATACCATTGAGACTGGCTCCACCTGAACCAATCTTCTTATGGAAAAGCTAGATAGGGTGGTCACAAAGTCTTTAAACAAGTAAATGTGGGTGAGGGTTCATTAGAAGTCAATACAGTTTCAAAAGTAACATGACAGAGAGTAAAGAAGTAAGGAATCCTACTTCAGGTATGGCAACTAATGGCAAAATTGTAAGAAGTATATTGATTAAGCTAGAAGAGAGTAACAATAAGTAGGTGAATAAAGATCAGTGCTGAGAGTCAGGTTACAGTCTATGGCCCAAATAAGAGTTCTGTAGATGAGTGCACGTATTCTAAGGAATAAATTAAGTGAGGTGCTGGCAAAATTCAAATTGGAGACCATGATATAGTAGCCATTACAGCGACAGGGTGGTCAGAATTGGGAACTAAATATACCAGGTTATAATATTTACGGAAAATGGCAGAGGAGGTGAAATAGGTTTACTGATTAAAAGCAAAATTACAAAAAGACAGATCATAAGGAGGGAAAAGCATTAATTGGAGACCATATGGGTAGAACTCAGGAGCAGTAAAGGATACAAAACTGTAAAAGGTGTTGTGTACAGACCCCCTCATAGCAGCTCTGAAGAGCTAAATTGTATATATGCAGAAATTAGGCTAGTGTGTAGCAAAGCCAGCGTAGTATTAATGGGGGATTTTAACTTTTAACATAAGTTGGGAAAGGCAGACAAGTACCTGTCAGAAAGGCAGTGACTTTCTGGAGTGTGTCTGGGATAGTTTCCTACAGCAATATGTCCTCGATGCAACAAGGGGACAAGCAAAATTGGATTTAATACTGAGGAAAGAGCCAGATTTAATTAGTAACCTAATTGTACATGAATATTTATCAAATAGTGATCATAACATGATCGAGTTCAATGTGTTTGAAAGCAAAAAGCATTAATTAGCTGCTAGAATGCAGGATGTAAGTAAGGCTGAATTTAATGAAACATTGTTCAGGGCAAGCTCAGAAAATCTGCTGATAATGGGTAAAACAACTGAAGACAAGTCGAGGATGTTTAAAGAAACATCAAACACAATACAAAGATAGTAGGAACTGCCGATGCTGGAGAATCTGAGATTACAAGGTGTAGAGCTGGATGAACACAGCAGGCCAAGCAGCATCGGAGGACCAGGAA